ATACAGCCTAGAGGCAAAGGGTCGAGAGGACCCTAAGAGACTAAGCAATCAAGGAATTCCAACTCTGAAGAGTCGAAAGAAAACCATAGTTACAAAAAAATCTTCTTGTGGATCGAGGCCCACCAAGAAGCCGTATGCTTTATATTCACACAAAAAGAGTCAAGAGAAGTCTCTTTCTCATCAAAAGGTCTGTAATTACGTTCCTTCCAAAGCAGCCATAGAAGGGCTCGAGCACCACAATTCCAGAGAATGGAAGTTAACACTAGGGCTTGAGCATCACATATCAAAGGGAGGTAGGGTTACTCTGATTCAAGCTGTACTTTCCAATCTCCCTACTTATTACCTCTCTCTCTTTGAAATCCCTAAGGGAGCAGCCCACCTAGTCAAGAAAATTCTTAGAAATTTCCTTTGGGAAGGCCCTAAGTTGAATGGCAATCTGCATCTAGTCAATTGGAGAAAAGTACAGCTCCCCACTGAACAAGGAGGCTTGGGGATAGGCAGCATCTTAAACCGAAACCCAGCTCTATTATCTAAGTGGGTCTGGAGATGCAACAGAAAAGGCCAGCCTCTGGACACAAATGATTGGAGCGAAATATGGGATTTCTCCAGATCAACCATGGCGAAATCAACCGTCCAAAGTTTTTAAAGGTCCTTGGGCTGGCATATCTAAATGCATCAACAACATTAAGAACACAGTCCTTTATAAAATTGGCAATGGTAGATTGGCTAGCTTCTGGTACGACAGATGGACCTCTAACTCCCCTTTGATTGAGCTTTTCCCCCGCCTCCACTCACTCTCTACAAAGAAAGATGCTAAGGTCAGTGATTTGTGGGATCAATCCACAGCTTCTTGGAATCATCACTTCTGCAGACCGCTCAAAGATGAGGAACTGGAAGAATGGATTGACCTTGAGCACAAAATCTCAGCTATTCATCTCTCTCACAGGGAAGACAAATGGATTTGGCCTATGGACCCCACTCAAACCCATACGGTTAAATCCCTCTTAAAGTACCTCACAGCTGAGCAACACACTTCTCCCCCCTTGTCGTATGAAATTATCTGGGCAGAGAAATACCCCAAAAAAGTAAAATTCTTCTTTTGGGAACTTAGTCACAAAGCTATCAACACCGAAGATAGGTTACAGAGGCGTTTTCCTTTGATGGCTTTATCTCCAAATGGGTGCATAATGTGCCTCAAGGCAACAGAAACCCAAAACCATCTCTTTGTCACTTGCGATTTTGCTCACAGATTCTGGAGTCTCGTCATTGAAACTTTCGACTGGCAAATCCCTCTTCATGCGCATATAAACTCACAGTTACAAGTTACTTTGGGGGGACATCCTTACAAAAAAACAAGAAGATCATGTGGTCCCTCTTTATCAGAGCTTTTCTTTGGAATCTTTGGAGAGAAAGGAATGGCAGAATTTTCAACAAGAAGTCACAGCCGTTTGCCAACTTTTTTGATGGAGTTTTGGTTACAGCTCTTAGCTGGTGTAAAAGCTATTTTCCTTCATTCTCTAGCTATATTCTAAATGACCTCTTAAGGAATTGGAGAGCTCTTATGTAACTCCTATCCTTTTTGTATATTTCATATTATCAATGAAATATGTGTTTCTCATTAAAAAAAAAACACTTAACACTGCTTGATCAGTTCTCTGTTAAAGTTGCAAGTTGCATCTGTTGCCTACTCAACTTGTCCTTTTAACTTCAGAAGGATGAGAGAGAGAGGTGACCAAGAACTTTTAGCCTTCAACTTGAAGGAAGCATCTCTCAAATACAAGTTTAGACATAATTTGTTAAAAGCAAGCGATGGTTTGTATAGATATTTGAGGAAAATGGTCTCTAGAAATGATATTTCTTGCTTTCTTTTGAGGTTGTTGACACTTGCACTTAAACTAGAATTAGGTAATCTGTTATTTTAGTGTATACATGGAGTCAGAGACCACCTTTACTGTGGTCTAAATAACCTTAGTTTTCTTAGTTTGAAGATTATATCTTCTGAGATATATAAACCAGGTTCTTTTCTATGAAATTTAGTGCACTTTATTGGCTTTACAAAAAATTGGAAGGCCTTTGTAAGAAGATCATATATTCTGAAATATATAAACCAGATTTTCTGTATGGAATCTAGTGCAATTGGAAGGCCTCTTTTGTAATCTTTTTTTTTTCTTTTTCTTTTTTTGCCTCAATGAAAAATGTGTTTCTTATCATCATTGGTTTGCCTTGGTTTATGAACCTTTGCATTTGTTAGTAGCGGCGTAGTTATATTTATAGGCCTCCAACGGAGATATGTTTCAAAAGGAAAATACTTGGTTCTTGATGGTAAGATCCAAATCTTGTCTTCACCAACATTCAAAAATTGAGCCCTCGTTATTTTTTTAAAAGAATTTTTGTTTTTTCAGTGGGAGGGGGTGGCAACACAGATATAAGAGTAATAGTGTCTTCTGTTATCACTGTAAAAACTATAAAATTTTTAATTTCTTATTCTTATTTTTCGTTTTTCCATAACATAAATAAAAACTATAAAATGCATAAGAAATATTAAATATACACTAGTTTAGGTTTCTCTTTCCAATAAAACGAAATAACAAGTAATAGGCAATTCAATTTTTTTTATTAAAAAATTAAAAATGAAAAATAATAAACATAACTGTTATCAAATTGATCCTCTCTTACCCTCTACAACAATCTCAAACTAAGCAAATGCTTTCTATTTTAGATTTCAAAATTCTTTATTGCTGTTTGGTATTTGGAATCCGACAGAAATTATTTTAAAAAATGGAAATAATTTCAAATTTTTAATTGTGTTGGGAACCAAATGAATTTAAAATCATTAGAATTAAAATTTTTTTGGTTGGATGTTCACAAGAAATGAAATAAAGAATAATATTTTGCTGTCATGTCATTATAACATTGCATGATATTGTATAAATAAATAATAACAATATAATATTTTAATATTAAATAGTAATGTCAACTATGTAGGAAGATGAAATAATTTAATAAAATTAAAATTTGAAAAAGAAAAACGTGATTTCAAAATCTTTTATTTTAAATTTCTCTTTTTTTTCTTTTAATACAACATGTGAGAGATCGAACTTACCATTGTTGGCTTTGACAATTTCTTATTTTCTTTACTAATCAAACAGTAGAAATAATTTTTAAATGATTATAATTTACAAATAAAAAGTTCCAAACCCAAGATAATTGAACAAAAACATTAATATGTTAGGTAATGATTTTGCAAACTGTACTACAAAAACTAATTTATTTCGCAGGTCATGCTCACGAGTCATGTATTTCAAAAATAGTTTCAGAGATCCATCTAATTTTTAAATTATAACTTTTTGTCCTTTAGTTTAATGGAATGTGCCCATGATTTATAAATTTAAAACTCACATGTATATTTTAAATTGCATGTTTTTTTTTGTTAAAGAACATTTTTAGTCCTGTACTATCGTCAAAATAACAATTTAGTTGTTAAACTTTAGTTTGTAACGATTTAATCGCTGTATTTTCAAATTGGTAATAATTTAGTCATTGGACTTTAATATGTAACAATTTAGTCCTTTTAATTTAAGTTGGTAACGATTTAGTCCTTATCGTGAATTTTTTCTTTGGTTAAGTTTCTTATAGGCATATATTGATAAATTAAAGAGGGACCAAATATGTTTATGAATTAGAAAGATTAAATTGTTATATGATAAAATTTGACACTTAATTTTAATAAAACATTTTACGACAGGGACTAAATTGTTATAAATTTTAAATTACATGGACTAAATCATTATAGGTTAAAGTTAAGGGGCTAAATTGTTACTTTTGGGGAAAGTATAGGGATTAAATCGTTACAAACTGAAGTTCAGGGACTAAATTGTTACTTTAGTGAAAGTATAGGGACCAAATGTGTTTTTTAACTTTTTTTTAGATACTGTTTGATTTTTAAAATATTTAAATATTATTTTGGTGTTTATATATATACACATGTTTTTGTTTATTTTGGTATATTTACTTTCAGGATATTTATTTTGATCCTTTTATTTCTATTTTTTGTTTATTTTAGTCATCGTATTTTCAAAACGTTTTTTTTCTTTGCTTATTTTGCCTCCGTACTTTTAAACAACACTCATTTTAGTTCATATTTACAAAATTTTAACTTAAATTTTATTCATAATGAAAACCATTTAATAAAAATTTATTGTTATATTTTCAAAAGTTTAGCGTGAATTATCAATGTTAAAGTTATTTATTTATTTTTAGTACAACAAGTGTGGAGATGAAAGATTGAACGTGGAGAAGAAACAAGATGTCTTAATTGTTGAGTTACATTATGTCATGCTAAATTTTTCATCGAAATAAATGAGATAAAAATAAAAATGAAATAATCGAAATAATCAGTTTTTGAAAATATAGAGATCAAAATAGACATTTCACCTAAGAAAATGAATAAAATTAACCGCAGGCATTAAAATAAATATAATTTTGAAAATGGTAGAATTTGTAATTACCCTTCTGAAATTTGAGAGTCAAACAATGGTAGCCTGGTAGGTCGCGGTAGATTTTATGAAACGCCACCGCACTTTCAAGCTGGTGGTAGGTGAACCAACTCCTCCATTGATCCAACACCAAAAATATATTATTAAATTGGTTTTTCCAATACTTTCCATTTATTTTTGTAATCATTTCACCAAATTTTACCTTTTAAAATTAACTCATACATTTTTAGTAGGAGAAAAATGAAATGAAAGATCCAACCTCTAACCTATAAGAAAGAAGTTATGTTTCAAAATTAATTATGTTCAAATCAAGAATTCCCGACTCGATTGTTACCACATTAGTAATTTAAAATAAATAAATATTTATTTATTGTAAGCAAACCCGACGAGACTTTTTTTAAATGTTATTAAAAATGTAACTATTGATTAAAATATTATAATTCCCAAGTCATTTTAAAAACTAATATTATCTTATTTCTTTATTTTAAGAGACAACTTATTTAGGTGACAGTATATGTTGTATGAAAGATTGTTGCAATATGAAGAATCACTTGTTGCAATGTCTTAATACTATCTTAAGAATAGAAAATGAAAATTTCAATTCAAGATATGCAGTTGTACATACACTACCTAGAAAAATTAACTAAAAAAAAAGCCGACATATTATCTATCATCTAAGGCATCCCCATCCCTGCTCCCATCCTCCAAAATTTGGGAGCAGGGATGGGGTGGCCGATCGGGGATGGGATCCTCGCGGGAAACCCGTCCACGATATTTTTTTAGTTTTATTTTATTTAAATGAATTATTAATATTTTAGGACTATTCTACAAGGCTTACAAGTATAAGAAAACTAAATTGTTAAATAGGTTATTCTATTGGGTTTGAGCTTTTTTTTTAAGAAATTAAAAAATATTTATAAAAATTAATATATTATTATTATACATAAAAATATAAAAATAATAAAACTTTAAACGGGGTGGGATCAGGGACCCGACAGGGATGAAAAGGGAACCTCAATTAAGATCCCCAGTTTGACCTCGTCTCCAATCAAACCGGGATTCCCTGACCCCGATCTGGTCGAGTCCTGCGGAGATCGAGTCCCACAGATATTTTTGTCATCCCTATTACTATCTAAGGTATTGTGTAGAGTACTTTCTTATTATTTATTTATTTTTTGAATACAGCAAATTAGGATATGAAAGTTCAAATCTCTAATCGAGTAGATGATAATTACCCTTGAAGTATGACAAAAGGAAAACTAAAAAATATTATTTCCAACATTAAAACTAAAAAATATTTTAAAAAATGGTTCGGAAATAATAATATTTAAACAATTACTTATATTTTTTTATAAAAAGAGAAAAAGAAAAAATCCAAAATCAATGCGTTGCATTCAATATAGGGAAAATTTCTAGTTCTTGCGTAGGAGGGAGATCTTCCATACTACTTCAACTCAAATTGTACCATGTGTAAAGGAATACTATTATTATTTAAATAAAAATATTTTTAGTTTTAATGTGGGATCTACAAGCAAAATTATCAACCAAGATCTCAAATTCTCTCTCTTAAATTAATCCTACCTTCTCTCTTATTAAATATTTTAAACTTGATTCTTTTCTAATTTAAAATATTTAATAAGAGAGAGAATCTAGAATTAATTTAAGAGAGAAAACGTGAGATCTTGGTTTATCAATTTTGTCCGTTGATCCCATATAAAAATTAAAAATATTTTTATTTAAATAATACTCATTTATCAGGATACAATTTGAGTTGAAGTGGTAGGAAGTTCCAAAGGAGGATTCGAAATTTTCCCATATATACAAAAAAGGAAATCTTCCCACGACGAAGAACGTCACCAACCAAGGACAACAACGAATATTTTAATTCGTCCGATTTGATTGACTTTTTCTGAATCTCTCTCCGCTGCTCTGACCTCATACATGAACTAGCGACGAATTCATTCACTTCAAGACCACGACTCTGACCCGCGTTCATATTTCTCCATTCTTACCTACCCCTCATTCATCAGAATCCCCCAATATTTCACCAATTTTTTCTTCCTCCCCCGTCGGATCTTGCCATGGAGATCTTACACACGCTCGACTTTGAGGTTCTTGTCAGTTTGGGAGTGGTCTTGGCTACCTTTGGTCTTGGTGCCGTCTTCATCGTTTTGTCCAGAAAACGCGCATCCAGAGGTTTCGCCTCCTTCTCATTTGATTCTTCGAAATGGGATCTCTGTTTTCTGGTTTGATTTGTTGGGTGTTTTCAATTCCTGATGGATGGTTTGATGTTTTCATTCGTGGGTCGTTACAATCTATGCTGATGGTTTCATGGACTGTTATTTATTTTTCCTCTTGATGTTTTAATGGATATATGGCACGTCTGCAATTTGAAATTAGATTCTGTTTTAGTTTTTATTTCTACTCTAGTCATTTTTACTCTTTCCGGCTGGAAAGTGAGTGAATGGTGTGGAATAAGTGTTTGTTGAAAAGTCTGTATAGCGAGTCTAGCGTAGAAGGGGTAGCATTCATGGGAAAAGTCAAGTGCTTCACTGGGCTTTTGGACGTGCTTAAATTTCAAAATAGCTGATTGAACTAAAATTCAAATGGCCATGGAGAGTTTCTTCATTTGCGTTGAGCTCTTGGTCAATATGAAATGGTAGATGTTATGGAAAATATGCGTTTTCTAGAACTCAAAGTTCTTGGTTCTTTGCTTGTCTTGTCTCTTGTGGGAATTTTAACACCTATGATGTTATCTCAGTAGCAGCCCCCCTGATGAGACAAGGTTGCAGTAGGAATGGTCTTTAACACTTGATTTTGCACATTCCATTATTCAAACTTCGGATTAATTGTAGGAACAGTGTTAGTCGGTGAACTTTGTGGTAGAAACGGCTCTAGTTGAGGATTCTATTCATCAATAAAGCATATGTGGTGACATAGGTCCAAAAGATCTTCCCCTTTTTTTTGTGACTTCAATAGCGTGTTCTCTGCAAACATGAGTGTAAGGTTTTAAATATTTTATCCTGGACATGCTCAAATTTAGGGAAGATTTGATAAGAGTTTTTCCCCCCTTCTCTTCATAAAGGTTTTTGAGTTGTATTTTGCTTCCCTCTCCATTCTGGTTACATGTTTATATGGAAGTAATTCTTTACTCTCCTTTTTGTCATAGAGGCTGCTTTCTTTTACAAACCGGTTCTTTGGTAGTCTTATGACACATTTGATCAAAAGGAGTAGGAGGATCTTTGATTACAAACTATCGGAGCCTTTTCTTGTAGTTATTGTTTCTTACTTCATGTTGGCGTGTCTTTGGTATAGAATCCTGTACTTTAATTCCTCTTAATGAAAGCAGTTTTTTTGAGAGGAAAAAGAAACACCTTGGTTAGGCTTACTGCTTTAGAGCTATTTGCCTGGCTTCTGCGGTTAATACTTAGTTTGTGTGTTTCTAGACTTTTCAAATCCTTGACCAGTGCTTTTAATGATCAACGTACCTCCTATACTAACATTCTCTTCTGGTTGTCATGGTTTTGTTCAGAGATAATTTAGGAACCATATTTTTTCTTGATTCCTATCTAAAAAATTTTCTTTTTCTGCATTCTATTTCTTTATTTATTTACTTTTTTCTAACGTGGATTGGCTCATATGTTCCATGTTGTTTGTAACTACAGCCTGCTTGGATCCAGAGAAGTTTAAAGAGTTTAAGCTTGTTAAGCGTACGAAGCTGAGCCATAATGTGGCGAAGTTCACTTTTATACTTCCCCGTCCCAATTCAATTCTTGGTCTTCCTATTGGACAACATATAAGTTGCAGGTTTCATTTCATCCAATATATTTAGTTTCCCAGTCATCATCTTGATAGTTTTATATACAGTTATGATACTTAGCACACCTAATATTTGGTTTATCTGTCCTGCCTTGTAACATCTCGCTCTCTCAAAAATTATGAGCAGGGGAAAGGATAGCCAGGGTGAAGAGGTTATTAAACCTTACACGCCAACTACTTTGGACTCTGATGTTGGATATTTTGAACTAGTCATAAAGGTACATATATAAATATGCCCACAGGTTGGTGATGGCACATTGATTTTTATTATTACAGTGCCCATTCTTATCTGAATGTGTGTATGAAATTTAGATGTATCCCCAAGGCAGGATGTCACATCATTTTCGAGAAATGCGTATCGGGGACCATCTTGCTGTGAAGGGACCAAAGGTAATTGCTTACTTGCAGAGAAATTATGATGACAGTTTTAGAATGTTCTATTATTCTACGTACTGCATGTGCCCAATGGCCACATGATTTCATATTATTAATCAGTTTTGTGAGAAGCTCTAGATCCAAATTTCTCCATATCACCTTGAATGTTATGATGCTAGTAACCAAGAAGTAATGCGGAAGTTTTGTTTCAGTGACTTGTGAATTTCCATTAATCTGGATTGAACACAATTGTGATTGTGATCTACATTATGTTTTAGAGTATTAAAATTGTTAATCTAAAGAATGCTTTATCCTCTCGGTCCTGATTACTTTTTGTGTCATATTTTTTCTATTAAGATATTGTCTTGTTCATGACAAAGGAGACATGTAGCGTTATTGTGTTTTTGAAGTCTTCACATAATTCTATATGCATCTATGTAGCATTATTGTGTTTTTGATTTCCACACAGACTTCAACAACACCTTACTAGCTCTTGGAAAAATTGATCTTGCTTTCACCAAAGAGTTAACTGAAAAGCAGCCAATAGGGTCTAACTTCCACACCCTTTTACCACCTCTAGAAGACAAAGAAACACCTTCCAACAATTGAGAAACTTAACATTACTAGGGCCTAGTTCAGAATTTATCACCATGGTTCTCTAATAACTTGTGTTCTTTATAGAATTTTGAATGCTTCGAATGGTGCCTAGTTTAGCTATTTATGTACTTTATTTATTGTTGCAGGGACGTTTTAAGTATCAACCTGGTCAAGTTAGAGCATTTGGGATGCTTGCTGGAGGCTCTGGCATTACACCTATGTACCAAGTATATCAAAAAAAATAAATTTTATGGAATATGTTTTTCCTAATCATTTAAAATCTTTGCTGCATTATGTTGTGTGCCATTTTATCTTGCCAAGTTTGAAAACAATAGGAAGCTCTCTCATTCTTACTTTTTGTTTTAGGTTGCTCGTGCTATATTAGAAAACCCGAAAGACGAGACTAAGGTTCACCTTATTTACGCCAATGTTACATACGAAGATATTCTTTTGAAGGTAATTTTTTGTAAAAGCTTTATATCATTTTATTGTCCTTCCATTTCCGATACTTATGTTTTTGTTGTTGTTGTTTGTGCTTGTAATGTACCATGACCACGACCACGAGTTTGTGAAGCTTGGAAAAAATGTCTTTCCCTTTTGCTGACAGTACACTTGCTAGAACAGATAATCTATATTTCAACTCGAACCTATTTGATTAATTACTTCACTTTTTCATGCATTCTCCATTTTTTAGTGTAATTATTTTAACTTTTCACTCTTGCTGTATGGTGATTACACTTCGGTTTTAATGAAAAAAAATACACGTCGGTATTTTCACAGGAGGAATTGGATATTCTTGCCACTAGATACCCTGATCGCTTCAAGATCTACTATGTGTTGAACCAGGTCAGTTAAAAGTTTTAAAATTTAGTAGTAGTCCAATATCAATAGCAAGAGATCTTAATTTTAAATCTCTGCAATATTACTTTCCTTGCGTCGTATTAACAATCCAAATGTTTAGTCTTGTGGATCAAACTAATATCAATATTAGGTTCCATCTCAAAATCAATTGGCAAGGAGAGAGATAACCCATGTATATTATAAACTTTTTTACGTTCTTTATTTTTTCAATATGGGATCCTTAACATGCCCCTTAAGATAGTGGCTCTTTTGAGCCATACCAATCTTGGGCAAATTCTATTTTTTTTTTTGGAACGGACGCTCGTTTGAGCTTTTGGGCTATGATACCATATTAGTATTCATGAGGTGTCATCTCAAAACCAATTGATAATGAGAGAAGTAACCCATGTATATTACAAACCTTTGTTAAATTATAAATTTTTGTTAAGTCTCTATTTTTTAAAAATGTGGGATCCTTAACAACGGATGAGGAAGGGTACTAAGAATATACTAAATGGTTTTGTTTGTTAGAAGTTTTGTGTCATGTTTAATGTTACTACTGATGCCTAAGTTCTTTGACAATGGAAACAGCCTCCTGAAGTTTGGGATGGTGGTGTTGGCTTTGTGTCCAAGGAAATGATTCAAGCGCATTGCCCTGCACCTGCTCCTGGCATTCAGGTATATTTTTCCCTTGAAAGTTTTAAGTTCTATTATAGATCCCTAAATTTTGGCGTTTATTTTTCTTTGGTCCTTCAATTTTTAAAACATCGTCTTAGTCTTTGAATTTTGTATAAAATGATAAAATCATTTTAGTCATTCTACCTAATCAATAAATATCTTTGTAATCAATAGATATCTATATAAACAGTGTCTGAAGTCACGTCTATATTAGGTTTTTTTCTCTTTAGTTCAAGAAAATGTGACATGCGGAGATCTAAGAAGCATGAACACTTCAATTTGGGTAACGTGCCCGTATCGGACACTCCAATACTCTAACACTTATCAAAAACACTTGTTAGCTCAATAGATGTGCGTTGTACACTAGTTGTACAAAGTAAACATGAATTCAACACTGGTTAAAAGCACATCGAACACTTGTTAAGCATAAGAAACAGATATATCTAGTAATATAGGACAAAATAATAAAATTTGAGAGCAAAATATATAAAATCATTTTTTAAGTATAAAAAGGAATAAGCTTATTGATTTTGAATTTCCTTCTTGTATGAAAATGATAGATACCTAAAATTGTACGTTTTTATAAATGTGTCCTTGTCATGTCCGTGTCTTAGATTTTTAGAAAATAATATATCACCGTGTCTGTGTGGTGTCGCATCTGTGTCTCACGTTCGTATTTGTACTTCTTAGGCAGAGACTGAACCTTCGACCTTAAGGAAAGTACCAAGTACCTTATCCACTAAGTATAGTAGTAGGTTAGGTGTTGGGTTTTTAAATGTATTTAGGTTCTTATTAAATAATTAATAAAATATTAATGGTAAAATGCTTTTTATGAAGTTTATAAACTAAAATATAACCTTTGAAATTTCAGGACTAAAACATTTCATTTAAAAATTCAAGAAACAGACATAATAAGATTTAAACTTTGAGTTTTCTTCAAAGTATAACTCTTACGATAGACTCTCTTCCGAAAATCAGAATCGCAATTAATTCATCTCTAACATTTTTTTCTTGATCAATGTGTTTAGATTCTACGGTGCGGTCCGCCGCCGATGAACAAGGCCATGGCTGCCCACCTTGAGGCTCTTGGATATACGCCTGAAATGCAGTTTCAGTTCTAATCCATGGTTACCATCTCATCAACCTTTCATGATTTAAAGTTAGCCAAAGACTGGACTCAGAATTTATTTCTTCAAATTCTAAATATACCGAGGGAGCATCAGTGAATTGTAAACGATTTTGTGTAACTTTAAAAGTTTTTTTTTTTTTTCCTTTTTCAATTGGTTTTTCATTGCAACTTCATCACTTTTTGGGTTCTCATGTCATTGGAGAAATTAGAATTTCCGAAAAGAGGAGGAAATGGAAATAATTGTATTCGTTGGGATCTTCTTTTTTCTTTTTCAGTCTTTTCTGCTTGTTACTTTTTAATTGACTCAGAGAATTTTGGTTTGGTTCGGTTTGGTTATTGACCGAACTAGACTTTGAATTGTGGTGGTTGGATTACTATATATGCAAACTGAACAAAACCGACTATTCTTGAAAATTAATTTTAATTGAATTGATCGGTTAATTTTGAGAAATTCTACCTAGAAAGTTATCTTAGAAGGAATATTTTAAAAATGTAATTTTTGTTATTATCTACATTTATTATGTTTGATTATTTTTAATAAATTAATGGTCATATAAGGCATATATTTACATTTATTAGTAAATGATTATTTTTTAATAGACCCAAGTCAAGTTTCTATTTGGAAGGAGGTAAGTTCTCCCGTAGAGGGATGTACCCACGTGAACGGTGGTGGACGAAGCAAGAGCGAGAATGTCCGGCCTTTGTCATATGCACACTTAGATTCTAAATAATTAGAAAGATAAAAATATATAAAAAACATTAATACTTAATAAATAAATCCATTTTTTGTACTTGAATAAGKTTT